TTATCCATTGTAACCCTGTAACCCGAAAACACAAAATACAATGCGTAATTTAAAATGTAGGTAAAAAAAAATGTGTGAATAATAATTACGGAAAATTCCTTCATATTAATAGATTTTGCCCTATTTTTACAGACTTTTCTTAGAGTGTAGCATACGAACTACTAATACACTGCTTAAATCTATAATTGTTCAGAATGAGTAGTTTTACTAGTTTACTAGCTAATAAAAATAAACTTAAATTGTAATTGTTAAAAAATGTGAGTGTTTAATAATTCAATGTTGTATTTATATACATTATATTTTAATATTATATTATGCATTTATATTATTTTATAAACACATCTAAATTAACATATATAAATTTGTTTATATTTTTTGCTGAGATTTGATGCAGCGACACAATTTTGCATCGTGATTACGCAATGACGTCACCGCGCAATGACATCGCGTCATTTAGCAACTTTTAGCAACAAATCAATCTTTCTTTAGCAACTTCCCCTGAAAATTAGTTGGCAACACTGCGCACAGTACATGCAAACAGTTATTTGCAAGATGATGGACAAAAGTAGCTGGCGGATCATCAAGACAAGTTATTTACTTTAACACACGCGCGCGCGCGCACACACACACACTATGTATTCATGGGTTTCAGTCACGTGACTTTTTTGTTGCGGCCGCCATCTTTAGGACCTTGCGTAGCCTCTCCTTGGTGATCAGAAACCAAAATAACACTTTAACAACAACGGAAAACAATGGTATTAAAAAAAAAATAGACACTTTAGGATTAGATCCTTATTTACTGTCAAGCGAACTGACTAAAGTCTAGGGAAAACCTACGTTTGCTGGCTATTTACATCTACCTCATACACAATCCCTCTCCGTACACTCGGGCCATTTTCAGTAAAATTTTCACCTGCTAGAGACTTGTCCATTGGCCCGGATCCATCTGCCGCACCCGGCCTGGATGCCTGTGTACTCACTTTCAGATTCTGGGCCGAATCAACCGGACCAGATGCGACAGCCGTAACTTGCCGACACTGCGGCATCCAAGCCAGACTCGGCCCGTTGCGCAGCACGCCAGACTTGGCACAGTTGCATTTCTATATCTACTGTACTGTTCATTAATATTTCATTTAAAATTAATAACGTTACCTAAACAAAACATTTACTTTCATTTTAATTATATAGATTATAATACATAAATAACATGACTTAACAAATCTATAAACATCTCATTATGAAAGCAATTTAAAGTCCATTAAATAACTAGCTTGACCAAGCTGGCATGAGGA